TAAAGCTTAAGTTTGAAATTTGGTGTTTTTCCGTGTATCGGTTCATGAGTTATGCGTTATACAGACACACACACACACAGACACACACACACACAGACACACACACACACACACACACACACACACACACACACACACACACACACACACACACACACACACACACACACACACACACACACACACACACACACACACACACAGACATCATCGCGAAAATAGTCAAAACGGATTCAGGGGACCTCAAAACGTAAAAATCCGTCGAAAACTCAAGGTCGAAAAAAATCATGATTCCTATACTTTCCTTATATCTGTATACAGATAGGAAAGTAAAAATTAAGCGAAATACCCATGCTACCAACCTAATACTTAAAACTCCAAGATATATCAATCTTAGTTGAACCAATAGAGAGGTTACTATCTTCCTACGTTCTGCTTGTACAAGATGTTCTTCTACAGTTCATCAAATTTCTAGAGGTGTTCGACGCCCAGACAGAGAACGCGCTACGTGTGACTAAGATAGCTATTGTACAGTCTGCTAAACAAGTTATTTTAAATAGTTTTTAATATTTTTAGGTAATTAAATTTTAAAAGTGTGGAATAGTTTAGGGATTAAATTGGTCTGATTGGACTTTCTTAGAACGTTTTTAAAAGCAGCTAAAGATAGTATGTAGAATTGAAAATAATTATTATGCCACAGAAGATGTTTTGGAATTCCTTCAAACTTTTGAAATTGAGTCAGAAAATATAAATTTTATAGGATAGCGGAAAATACCTATAATTTTTTTGTAGGCCTTTGTAAATCGTGGAAATAGTTTATATTTTATTTCTACCTTATTAAGGAAAATGGTACCTATTATTAATAACGGTTGTTTCTGAAACATTACTAAAATTTTCGAAATTTTGTTTTTCTACAAAATAATAAACTATACTATTTAGAAAAAATTTTATTTCTCTTATAATTTTATAAAAAATAACAGGGGAATATTTACATTTCTTGATCTATTAAACAAAACGATAAATTATCTCGACGAATGACACCATGTTCTAGTACGGAAGCTAGCTTTACATTTTTGTTGGTGGTTTCATGGGTTTCATATAAATTTTTTGTAATTGTAGTTTACACGTACATATACCTCTTAACACTTGTTTGCTTTATTAAAAAAGTGTGTTGTTGTGATTTACGTCGAAATAAGTCAAAAACAACTTGAAACCCCATATAAAATCAAAAAGGAGAAACGGAAAAAAATTGAGCCTGTAAATGAACACAACTCAGAAACAAAAATAGCTATCTAATAATAAAAAATAAAATTTGATTCTTGTGCATCTTCGTTGTAAAAATAAATAATACTTTTTTGATCTTAGGTACAGATATAATTTTAATGGTCTTCCGAAAAACTTTCTTCAGTTTCCATATCAGATTCAAAATCAGTCTCACTGTCACTGTTTAAGTTAATTATAAATCTATCAGTTGCCTCATCCAAAGTAACTTCTCTGTCATAAAATTTAGATTCCCACATTTTAGCATTATTACAACGAGATTGCCACTCCTCTTTAGAAAACGTATCAAAAAAGTCTTCACACAACAGTTGTACGTCTTGCCTCTTAAATGTAGTGTTGTTACTAGCTACATATTGTTTCAATGATGCCCACACTAATTCGATCGGATTAAGATCGGGATGATACGGTGGCAAACGCAAACAACTAAAACCATGTTCATTTATCATTTCTTCAATTGCATACCTCTTAAATCGTGACTTATGCAATAGCACTAAACTGTATAATTGCGTTTTGAGCATATCCTCTTCGTAAGCAATATTATGATTCCTTAACCAATCCTGCATGTCAGCTTTTTTAGAAGTTAACGTTGGTGCTTTATTTACCTGGACATTATGGTAAGGAGCATTATCAACAATAATGACGCTTTTTGGAGGGAGGTTCGGAAACAGCTTTTCTTTCAACCATTTAGAAAAATTATTAAAATTCATTTCATCGTGGTAGTCTCCACTTTTGGTTCCAGATTTGAAAATTAACCGGGCATTCGGAATAAAGCCCATTTCATCTCCTGCATAGACAATAATTAGTCTATCACCTTTATTAATTGGTTTCTTTAATCCCTCATTTGAATTATCACTCCAAGCTTTCTGGTGTGTGTGGGAGGCATGAATGTATGTTTCATCTAAGTAGACAATTGGACGGCCCTCTGCTCGATAACTTTTTAAACGAATCAGATAGTCTAAACGTAGCTTTTCAATATCAAACCTTTCCACTAATATTTTTCTGTTTGTTTTTGTTTTCCGCCAACGATTCAAAACCCCCAAATAGTGAATGAAGAACTTCCTCCGTCCCTAATGCTTGAAATACCATTGAAATTGCACTAGACTTTCTGATATAAGACCAATGAGAACCTGGATCAATAATTGCTCGAACTTGCCGTTCACAATTTTTGCCTTTTAAAGTTACAACTAATGTTAACAAAAATAATTGACTAAAAGAAGTATGATTTGAGAGATTATCTGTTACTTGAGGACTAGTTTCAACTTCTCTAGAGTTTCTAGTCTCCGCTAAATGAAAACACATGACCAATACATGTTTTCCGCCACAATTACTACATTTAAGCTGTACCGCCGATTTGCATTTCCTCGCTATGTGCCCAAATTTCAAACATAGATGACAACAACCCTTAGACGACAATAATTTCTTACGTTCTACATACGAAAGTTTCAGAGCAGTTGGACAATCCACACTGCTGTGTTCTTTTTTACAGGAAACGCATTTTAATGACTTTGTGTTAACTAATGTAGCTGCAGTAGGTACTAAATTAGAAGAAGATATAGAAGATTTTTTTGTTTAGAATTAGTAAATCCTGCAGTTGTAAGTGATATTCTTTCTTCATTTTCTACTTCTCTTTTCATAAATTTCATCAGTTAATTAAGACGTTTTTTCATAGAATCAGTAGCACAGAAAAATGAACTTCGTTGCCAAACTCGAAGAAGGTCTTCAGATAAGCATGATTCTATCAACGGAAACAACATTGCGGCACATTGATCAGAAGTGACATTGAGGGATTCTAGAGAAAGAAGTTGAGTTTCAATTTTATCATACAAATCACTTAATCTAGACTTAAAATTATGATTATTTAAAACTAATTTCAAAAGCTCTCTAACGTGAACTTCTATAATTAAGTCTTCATGACCAAAACGCGATTTTAGACTTTCAATAGCCTTGAAATAGTTTTCTCTTGTAAGAGGATAACTGTCCTTTAAAAAAAAAACAAGGTGGCAACCCTAAGGAAGACTGTTCAGAACTTATGACTGACGATGTAGACACTCAAACATCTAGTGAAAGTATGTGTATGGTGAAAGTATATGGCGAAAGTTATAAAGTAAAAGAAGATTATGTAGTATATCTCTTTTTGTTCCCAAAATATACATTTTGATGCAGGATCCGTCGGATTACCGGATCTGGTTTTCCGGATTGCAATCCCTAACTTTAATACACCAATATCAATCTTTTTTTAATGAAAGTTTCTTCGCAAATGCAAATAAAGTCGAGAACACACGTACCTACCTAAATAGTTTTCAAATAAAACGTGGCTGGTAGTTAGTTAGTAGATACTTTAAATTGGTGAAAATCCCAAATCTAATCAAACTTTGATTAAAGCGGAATTACCATGCTAATACGTGCCGAGGACCAGTCAGAAGTTTCTGAATACAATTTTGATGACATCAAAAATTATGCTGTAAAAATTATACAAGGCGTTTCTTTAATATAAGGATAGATACTTCCATAAAACTAATTTATTAAGTATATTTTTTATAAACTTAAAAAAATTAGATTATATCACCTTTTTACATCATGAAGAGAGAGAGAAAAAGTGAGTAATTGTTCACTTATTTCGTGGCGCGGGCCGCATCTATTTCTAGAATGGATAAATTTTTAAACAACCCAATCCCATTATTTATACCTTGTTGGCCATCCCTAAATCCATACAAAGTGTAGCTAATTATGAAGGCTTAAGGCTCCTTTGTTGACCCTAAATATAGGATTTGAAATACTGTGATTTCCCTTTTATTCGTTCCTCTAAACCAGGCAATTATTTTGTTTTAGTAAAACATTCTCATGCTGATGTTCGCAGCAAGGGCGAGAAAGGTGAGAACGCTCGTTTTTAGGTAAATACAAGTTTAATTCTGTGTACTTTGCCGTTTGGAAGAGTTAGAGATGTGGTTTTACGTCGGAACTGTTATTTGTACTTTGTCACTAAAAACTACTCTATTAACAATTTCTCGAAAAATATTATTCTCTATAAAAGATGGTGCCTTATCTACAAACGTTAATAACATTTAATAATTATCTAGTAGTAAAATAAGAACACAAATTCTCAATTTTTCCCAGATCTGGAGAAAAATAACTTTTCATTGAAAGGCAATGTTGCAATACAGGTGTATTCTTCTCATATAGAGCTGTATATCCCTAAATATATCACTGAAATTTAGTAACCAAGCAACACCGCTTCTCGTTAAATGGCGATAGCACAGAAGGATAATGATGTTTGGAGGAAATTTGTACAATGATTAACCTTTGCTGTACTTAATACATTTAAGTGGCACATCGTTACCCTAATTAGCAAATCTCGTAGATCCAAAACACCTAACTTTTCAGGAGCTTAAAAAACATGTTTATAATTATATATGCGCTTAAAAATCTTTTAAAATACGACAAATTAATTTTTTACATTGATTTCTAAGATTGTTAAAGAATGAAACCATTTTGTATAATAGGAACTTTTTTTTAGTGGATAGTTTTTATTAATATTTATTTTTCAATAAGTGGAGTTACGAAATGAGTCGAATTAATTTGTATTGGGACGTTGCCATTAAATGAAAAGTTAACATTGTTTCCCTAGATCTGGGGAAAAATGGGAATTATGTCATAAAAAGTCTTATTCTATTACTTATAATCTCTATACGGTTAATCAGTGAAAATGTTGAGTTACCTACCTTTCTCACGAGCCCGTTTCCTTTTGTAAGAGCGAAACTGATTGAAATCACGATTAACAGCGTCCGAGTCCTCCAGAAACAGCTTCTCTCCATCACGCATCCTCATTGATTCTGAAAAACAAATAGAAAACATACTATCAGTGTCTGCGAAGTGTTAGTTGTCATTTTTTGGATGGTGATTAACATAATTTAATCAATTACATCTAGGACTGTTTTTAAGAGCCATAATGTAAGCAAATTATTTAATATACAATATTGGTGATGAGCCCTACGAACCAGGGGTTGTATACCTTCTTATTTTGACATCTACATATAAATGGGCAAGTTGGAGACAATGAGGTTGAATACTATGGACATGACATGCCAAAAAAAACGACACCCCTTCCCCCTCTCTTAGTGCTCATGTCATAGCTGTCAAAGAGCTGTCAGAACTTTGTTAAAATTTAAATATTTCGACGTTATTTCTATCTTAATAAGTGTTTTTTTTTTATTAATTTGTATAAAAATCATGACTAAGTGTGCCAAAATTAATTGTAAAAACTCTTCAGTGAAAGAGCGTAAGAAATTATCTAATTTAAGTTTTTATAAGTATAAGGAGTGTACTTAGAATTTTTTTTAGAATGCTTAACTTTTTTTTATTATAGGTTTCCAAAAGACCCACAATATCTCAAAATTTGGTCTAAATTTGTGGGAAAAGGCCAATTTGAGTCTAAGCCGAATAGCATGTTGTGCTCTATTCACTTCAAGGAAGAATTTTTTGATAAGAGTGAGTTAAGGGTCAGATTGAAGAAAAATGCTGTTCCGACAATAAATGAATGTTTAGTTAGTATACACTTTATTTACAATAAAACTTAAATAACTAACTTAATAAAGAACAAAATAGTGTTGTTTAAAGGTCAATAAATATTTTTTTAAATAATAATAAATTTTTTGTAATGTCTTATTAAGAATGGGACACAGAAAAACTGAAGAGTTACCTATAATTTTACCAAATTTGGCAAAAGTTTTTGGTGTCATAAGATACGTTACACTTATTTGAACTATAATTATATATTTTTTGATGTTTTTTAAGTAAATCATATATAGGTACTTTTGTTGGGAACTTATAAGAAACTTCAAAATTAAAATGAAGAATATTCGCATTCTAAGCATAGTCTTATTTTTAATCAGACGCTTCAGTTGTTCTGTATCCCTTTCTCAATGAGACACCTTGTATATAAACTTCCCACTTGAACAATTTTATATTTTTCAAGTATGTACAATACAGGTGTATCAGAATGTAACGTGTCAAATTTATCGTTTCGTTTTTGAAAATATTTAAATCATATTTTCTTCATTGTTTCATTTTAACTCGTTAATTTTTATTTTAGTTGTCCCACCTCTACACCTATACTTTGCTCAGTTTTGACCTTCTTTGCAAACTTTATTGTATATTTCGTATGAAAATTAATATTTTCAGAAAAGTAAGACTCTATTGCGAACGAAGGGCTGTCTTTCTATTATAGTTGTTGTATTTGATGCCCGGCTTGGTTATTATTTATTGTTTTTATAAGTTAATCTATCTGTATTGTAGGAATTAAGAATGTCACCTTGATCCATTCAGTTTTAATTCTCGCGCTAATTAATAGATCCGGTGTTCTTTTGGCAGGAATGCGACGCTGCCAGTTTTAATTTTAAAATTTCCGATTTTTCTATATGTTTGTAGGGAGTATTTCGGCCTGATAGATTGCTTTAGCAACTACTAAACTTTTTCCCTTGTATGAGGTTAGTTTATATTACATTATTTGTATGTTTTTCCCTTAATTTCCCGATTATTTTTGTTTCTTTGCGATATCTCGCCATGGCTCCATCTACTGATGGATTCTGTAAATAAATTTTCCTGCGAATATGGCTAAACTGTGGTTTCCTGGTCACTTTTGTTCTGTCTTTTAAAGAAGCTGCCTCGTGTGTTTAATTGTAAGGGTGCTACTGGAATTTCGTGGTAATAGTGCTACCATCCCTAGAAGGGGGGTTCAGTTTTCCGAGTACCAATTGTAGGAGAATCTCAAGTACTTTTGAGAGAGTTATTTGGTTGATAGAGATTTTCTGGACTACTTCGTTTGAAGAAGGATTTTTTTTACATTGCACGTGGAGCTTTCTGATAGATATTTCACCCTTAATCAGGTATGTAACACTTCGTTTAGCTATGTTCATTTTTAAGCCGCTCATTGTTCTTTTCATAATATAGAGTATGAACGATAAAATTAATTTTGTTTTATTCCTGCAAAAAAAAATAAGATAATTTCTTTTGTGGTTTAAATAATCGGAGACTCGTTTTGATAGTGATTTGCTTAAAACCTTGCATCTCAAAGTCCAATTAGTTACCAAGCTTTTTCTTTATTTTAGTGATATAATTAGGCCTTTAACCGCTAAATAATAAAAAAAAGGGTGATATCAACAAATTTGCCGCCGAAGCCATTTTAATAAAGAAACCCCTTGGCCAGGGTAAGTAACGTGTATTTTTTTTTATATTTATACAGTGGTTTTTTTAAATGTTTGGCATGAAATTTTAGTTTTTTTTATGCGACATAAAATTTTGTCGAATTTGCGATGTTGCCAGATTTAAAATATTTCTTTGTTTCTTGTGATTATTTTTAATGATCTATTTGATTAGCGAGAATGGTCTAGTTTTTCGCTGTAGACCAGGAACGCTTATTTTTTTTTGTTATTAGTATATTTTTATTTTATTTATATATACGCTTACTTTGATCTGTTGAGTAAGTTTAAATATATTAAATATAAGAAAATAAATTATTTATTACAGGGTTAAAAAAAAAACTGCATTTCTTTTTTTTTAATTCATATTTAATGCAAGAAGTTCGTTTATTAAGCAGAAACTTTTGGTTTCTAATTCATATGTATATTTTAGGGTTTTATGGTTTACGGGTATTTTATGGTTCGTTTTATGGTTTAATACTGGTTTATTCCTGATTTATTCCTGGATTATTCTTGAACTGAGATCACCATCCGTCATCGGTTCAGCGCATCCACTCCAGGGACGTCGTCTTCAAAGTAGGACACAACAGTAAACCTGATCCTGTCATAGCGACGCTGAGTTCTGGATCAGCCTCCACTTGATGTTGGTTTCGTTTTGGATACACGCAAGTTATTTATTAATTTTTTCTTTCTTTTATTAATATTTTTTTTATGTCATTGCTTGTACAGCTTTTTTGCCTATTGTTACGATTTCTGCTTATGGCCAGCTTTTAATGATACATATTTACTTGTTAGCGGTCTCTAAGGTGCGAAATAATTAAACCAAAATTTTGCCTTTTAGGATCTAACGCACATGCGCCTGAGCTCAAGCGGTGTAAAATCGTTATTTTTCTTTACTATCGGTTCCTTTTCTTTACTTTTCGCCTTAAGACTAGCAAAATAACCATTAGTTATTTGTGGCTTTGTTACTATTGCATTATTGCTATTATTAGGTATAGTGTATAATAATCATACTTGCTTTACTTGCTATTTCTTAATTGCTACCGCTACTGTTAATATATTTTGGCTCAATTCACACATGGAATTTAGATGAATTTATAGGTTTGTTAATTCTCTTTTTATTTAGGTTTGGTATTACGAATTTCAGTCGTTACCTTGGACTTAGTCCTAGATATATGTTCATTTTTTTTTACATGTTTAATAGCTCTTAAATAAATAGCTGGTATTAAGTATAATAGTTTCATTTACGTACTCGAGTTGGTGTATTTTAAGTTATTGACCTTTTGGTAAGTTATGGTCGATAAGGACCTCTTAGATACTTGTGTAAATTTATCTGGCGCCTACATTAACATTCTTATTATTTTTTTTGTGGACCACACCCGTCTCCACTGAAGCTAAGCCGCGAGTATCCTGAAAAATGATCACATGTGACCGGGTATGCGTAATTTGCTTATCGTTTCATTTTTCATTAATTTAGTAGTTTTAACCGATTTGGAAGGTAAAGCAAAAAGACAACTTATAACAAAGGTTTAAATTTAGTAATGTCAAGTCATCCTTGCACCCTAAAAAAGTACCAATGAAGAAATTATTCCTCCAATGCAACCAAACAGTTATTTTTAGGATAAGATGTTGTGTCAAATGTTATCCACAGCCATAGGGTTTTTTTTTTAAATGGCATGGCATTCAAAATTTCGGTCAAAACAATTTTCATCATGCACTTTTCTTGGAAATTCACAATCCTTTATTAGGATTAAAAACACCAGTTTCTAGAAACTTTTTCACTATAACACTAACATTACTGATCAGAAAAAGTGGTTAAAATTTTCTTTTTGTAATCACAAATCGCAAATGAATGCCTAGTTTTAAAATAAATTATCTCTATAATTCCATTTGTATAGTTGTATGCTGTGCATCTGTGAGATTGTTGTTTATTATACATAGGTACCAATTATAGAAATCTTTAGTAAGTACTTTCTTGCAATTTTAGTAATATATGTACCTACCCTATATAATTAATTATTTCAAACATAAATAAAACCAACAACTATTATCTGAGTCTTTTTAGTTCCGATTGGTTTTGACAGAGTAGTTTTGATCATGGTTTTCTTCAATCTACGTTTAAGCATAAAGTCATACCTAGCTGAATTTTTGGTCTTTTGAAACTTTTGACTGTAGCGGGTCATATTTTTACTTTCCTATCTGTATACAGATATAAGGAAAGTATAGGAATCATGATTTTTTTCGACCTCGAGTTTTCGACGGATTTTTACGTTTTGAGGTCCCCTGAATCCGTTTTGACTATTTTCGCGATGATGTCTGTGTGTGTGTGTGTGTGTGTGTGTCTGTGTGTGTGTGTGTGTCTGTGTGTGTGTGTGTCTGTGTGTGTGTGTGTGTCTGTATAACGCATAACTCATGAACCGATACACGGAAAAACACCAAATTTCAAACTTAAGCTTTGTTCCAACGTCTAATGAGCTGATAAGATTTTGGGCAGAGTCGGAACATCTGGGGGGGTACTTTATAGGTGGTCATTTTTATATTTTATGGAATATATCTGTTATTTACGTTTGGGGAAGAAAATTTTTTAAATAAAAGTTACTTCTTATTTTATTATCTAT